CAACAAACGATCACATGCTTCTGTATTAGTGCATATAGTTAACTGCCAACCCAGACTCTGATTAAAATTGTGTTTTCTGTGTTTTTGTTTTTTTTAACTGTTTGTAGCATCCAACTTCAGGAGAAAAGTAGGAGAAAAGGTTTGAGTTTTGTCCCCACCACAAACTTAAACACCTCTATCAAAGCCCCTGCTCTCCCTCTTCATTTACAGCTGTGATTCTTTCTCCCAAACTATCACATGCTCATTTTGTTTCCTAGCTTCCTGTCTTCCGAAGCAGTTTTCCCTATCTCGGGCCCACCCTGGATTTCTGCTGCCTTCCTCCATTTTGCTGTTCAGCAGCAGTCGGCACGTGGAAGAGTCAGAGATGCCCTGAAGAGGCTGGGGACTGAGGCGGAGCAGGCAAGACTGGGCACATTTCAAACATCTGCTTTTCTCCACAGTTAAGGAGAACATCCTAACCTGAGAAATGACTGTTTTACCCCTTCTAAACCCTGTTGGGAAATCTTACTGGTGGCTAATTGACAGAATGTAGCTGTAAATGTCCAATGACTAAATATTTTTCCTAGAGGCAGAGTTGTGTCAAATTTGAACTTTTAACTTAGGTACTGTAAGGTTACTTAGGTACTTAGGTACTGGGAAGTGAGAAAAAGCTATTAAACAGCTGCTTAAAAAACAAAAACAAAAGCAAAAAAACTCACAAAAAAGCTGGAGAGAGTACTGCAGGGATTGAGACCTCAGTCTGCAGCATCATGCCAGGATCTCATTTTCCTGGGACAGAGGAGCAATCCTGATTGAATTTAGTTCAGGCAACTTGGCTAGGAGCTTAAGGAGACACAGAAAGAGAGAGCATTTGTGGGAAATGAATGCAGGTGTTCTGAGTGTTCAAGAAAGATGTGCTGGGAATCTCAGGAACAAACCTGAGGGTTTGCCCAGGTCTGTTCTAGGAGAGGCCTCTGCTGTTTTGCCGTGTCCCGGTGCCCTCTGTGCCCAGGAACCCTCCAGAGCGCTGAGCTGGGAAGTGAGGGGTGCCCTGGCAGTGCTGAGTGATGATGTGCCAGGGTAGCTGGGATGAGCTCCTCTCTACTGAGGAATTCACAGATAAATCTTGTCCGGGGCAACCTGTGCTGGGTTTTAATCCCGCAGACCGCAGTTACAGTAGCTGTCGGAGTGACTCCTCTTTGCTTGTGCTGGTCTAAGGCCAAGAACTGCTGCTTGGAAATGGCTCTCACAGAGCTGATAAACATATCAACTCAGTGAGAGCCATTTCCAAACAGCGGTTCTTGTGCTACGTGTGCAATAAAAACAATTTCTGTCTCAAAAACATGACTTAAAAGAGGAGGACAACAGAAAGAATGAGAACAGTGGGAGGGCTGAGTGTAACTAGGTGTCCAGCAGATTGCACGAGCTGCCTGCTTTAGAGTTTCCCCTGAAACTGCTCCAGTTTCAGTGGAATTGCACAGATACGTGTGTGCAGAGAAGCTGTGCCGTGCACAAGACCAGTGTGAGGTCAGATGCTGAATCACGTCAGGTGAGACACAGCTTTAAAGGGCAGATCTCATTGCATGAGAAGGAGAAATGTCATGGGACCAGCTTCTAGTTTACTCAGGTCACTGCTGGGAACACACTTGGTGAAATCTTATTTCCTGATGAGAAAGTGCAAGTTCTGAGTCATCATTGCAGATGTAACTAACAGGCAGTCTTCCCCTTGCAGCTTCTGGTTTCACTGCTGTTCTTCTCACTCATGGATCTCATCTCTGCAAAAATAGCATCAAAGGTAAATTCAGCCCCTGGGGAAATCTCGTGACACTAAATGTGTCTGATCAGGTTTGGCTTGCTGCCTAAAATGCTTTGTGTCACTGCTCTGAAGGCTGGTAGTTGTTCAGCCAGAAGGAAGAGATCAGCAATGTCCCAGACAGAGCCTGGTGAAAGTCTTTCTGTTCATATCAGATTGAACTATTCTCTTTTAACTGATGTTATCTCCCTCTTTACTATGGTAGCTTTTATTTGTCTTCCTGCATGACTCACTGTTTTCAAATTCCTTTATACCTCTCGGCTAGTGTTTGAACTCTCATATCTTGGCTTTGGTGTAGCATTTCACATCCATTAAAACACTTTTTTTCAGGCTGGAAACATGCATGGTATTTCACATGGGAAGGGATCCCAAATGAGGAGGAACACTGGTTTCCGGGTGAATTAACACTACTGAACAAGGGAGCAAAGATGGTCTGACAAGTTTCTTTCACCAGCTGTCTGCCCTAAGCATCTTCCTGCCCATTTTCCTGTCCCTTTGCTGTTTCTCATCTGCAACCATTGGTGTAGTCACCTAGCAGATGGGACCAGGGAGTAAATTCAAATGGAAAACAGTCTTGCAGTTTCACTTTCTCCAGCCTCCTCCAAAGATGGTCACTGGGATGGAATGTGGAATAACCCCGCCAAAATCTGTTTGTTCAAGTAAAATGAATAATGCAATTCCCCTTCTCACCGCCATCCAGCCCCTGGACATGGTGTCGTGAGGATGAGAGGGAAGAGGTTCTGCTACAGGGTGCAGGATGGGGTGGGCACAGGACCTGGAGGGGCTCTGTGCTGGGCACGGTGGGTTGTGCTGAGGAGCTGCTAGCCCGTGGCTGCTCTAATGCCCAAGTGCTCGGGTAAGAGCCCAGGCTATCTGAAGAAGGGAAAGACTTGGGATAGTTAAGCACTTAACCATGCAAATGAAAAGCTCTGTTCTCTTTCTGTTTCAATGTAACTAAAACTTAAACTATTCATGTCCTTTCTGACACCCAGGAAGGAGTGGATTTTCACAAGTCTCTGGAATGGTCCCTGGAGATCTTGCAGTGCCTGGAAGAGAGAGGTGTGTCCTGGCCACTGCTCTTTCATCCAGCAGAAAAAGGTGAGCAAGCTCTGCCTGCGAGGGGTGGGAGAGGTCACTGCACGGTGGCAACGGCTTATCTTTCTGATATAAGAAGTGTAGCCATAAGTGGGAACTGATGAGCCCTTGTAAGCAGAACAAACAGTTTTGTAAGAGGTAGGAACACATTACCTATGCCCTGCAGAAGCTCGTAATTGGGAATGATCAAAACTCAGTAACTGTTTCACCTGGCAGAGAGCCTAGGAGGGAAGAGCTGCTCTAGGGGTTCACAGCACCCAAGCACTGCGTTTTATTCTGGCCTGGGAGGAAAGTGCTGCCCTGTGCTGCTGTAAAAGCACACGGCCTGACATGAGCATCACTGAAGATGGTTGATTCTTCTTTCTGCTTGTTGCAGTCCCTAGAAAATACCATATTCTGCGCAGTGCGGCATCGGACCGTCACCTCCGGCTCCTGCCTGTTGCCTTCTACAGGTATGTCCTGCTGGTCTTGGAAGGAATTTGGGAGGAAGGATGCGGTTAGTGGTTTGCACGTTCAGCAGCTGATAGGGAGGTAGTTGTACAGCTGGCCTGCAAGTGAGACGAGCTCTTACGCTGTCTGTGCAGGAGACCCTCCATTGGGGCAGGGCTGCTATCGGGCAGTCGTCTTGCTGGCAGTTTCCCTGCGAGTTTTGTGGCTGCCTCCAGGCTCCTGGCAGCGGAGCAACCTCCCTTCCTGCAGGAAGGTGACAGGGATGGCAGCGAGAGCATTAGCTGCGCTTGTCCCCTGCTTTTTCCTGGCTTTGAGCATAACATGAAACCAGCGCTGATAGATACTGTGTGTGGTTGCCTTTGCCTGCAGCCTCACCCCCGGCTTTTGCCAAGAGCTGTTCACTAGAGAGCCAGCCTTCCTCTGCGTGGCACTTGATCTGTACCTGCAGTTGCTGCAGCTCTTTCTGGAAGGGGAAGATCTGCCACAGGCCGATAAGGCAGGACAAGGCCCAGGCCTTGCAGAGCATGTGAGTAAAGTTCCATCTTTCCTTCCCCCGTCATCCTACCTTTTTCTTCTCTTCTCCCTGTGTCTGGTAAAAGCATATGGTTAAACGAAGGTGCTGTCTTGCTTGTGCAGGACCTGGGAATTAATGTAGCCATCAAACCCGTGAGCTGCCTACCCTGCACACAGAGCACTGCAGAGTGTAGTGCATCCCGTCTTGCTTTTACGAGCGGGGCCTGGGGTTGCTGCTTTCCGTCCTGATCTGCCTCGCTTCTTCCAGGTGGATTCCCTGGAGGTGATCGCCAAGGCCCGTCAGTTCCTGCTCGCCGCGCTGCCCCGCTGTCCCCCCAGGAGCTTTGGAACGGTGCAACCGGTACGTGCCCTTCTTTTCCTTCCACCGTCCAGCGAGGCGGGAACAGCCTGGGACACGAAGTGCCATTTCCATGGGCAGTTTGGGCCAGGGAGGGTGCCTGGTGCCCAGCTCGTGCAGCAGCCACCGCTTCTCGCTCAGGCTGCAGGCCCAGCCTTTCTCTGCACCAACAACCACTTCCTTCTGCTGCAGTCCCACCCTGTCCCCTTTGCTAAATGTTTGGTCCTAGGGGAAACACCAAGCGCAGGTAAGCGGCAGGTGTCGAAATTCCTACAGCCACTGTGGTTTTAGCAGGGAGACCCTGTTTTTTTGTGTGCGAGTCAGCAGCAGCTTCCCTCTCCTCCTGCTGCAGTTTGCTCAGCAGCAAGGTGATCTGGTGTTGCTCTGCCTTGCTTTGAGGAAGCAAGGCTGGGTCTAATACCTGACATATTCCCTGTCCCCAGTTACTGGACAGGTGTGAAAAGATCGACCCAGAGCTGAAAGGTGCCCTCCTGCACTTGTCCCGGGCTGCCGCAGCCCTGGAGCTGGATGAAGAGCTGGTGCTGTTCTGAGGGATGGTGGCCACTGACACGGCCACAGGGAAGGAAAACGGAGCAGAAGACACTGCCCCTATGGACAGCAGGAGGGTGGGAAGGATGGACATGCTGCTACCTTTCTCATCAGTGCTGTTTCATTGAAATTACTTTGTAAATAATTTATTACAAGCATAACCATGAAGCTCTTGTTACAATAAAAAGTAGGTTACAAATTTCGTTTTAGACTTGCTTTGCGAATCATAATTCTTTCAAAGCAAAATGTCTGCTTAAGTTTCTCCACTGTCCTATGTGGCCTCGCTGCCCTCAAGGGCAGTTAGACACAGGCAGCAGCTCGTGCAGGTAGGTAACAGTTGTGGGACAACTTTGTTTCTACAACTGTGTGTGTTGGGGAAGGGGACAACAACAGGGCGCCGCCAAAGACTTGTCCCCTCGGAGCAGACAGACTCTTAGCACAACACTGCTGAATCAGACGTGAGCATGGAGAATCACAGCATCATAACAAGCTTTTTCTGAGCAAGCTGAAGCTAATTTCACTGAGTTCTGGAGGAGACTAAAACGTAGATTCCAAGTCTCCACTCGGCTGTACGGGTTCTACAAGGCTGGCCTGGGCAAGCTGCCCTGTCCTGCTCAGGTGGGCTCCTGCTGCGCAGTCACTTCGGGCTTTACAGCCTGGCTGTCTGCAGTCCCTGAAGTAGTTAGGAGGAGAATGGGCTCTGGCTCCAGTGCCTTGGTTTTGTCCTGAGTCTGGGTCAGAGGGTGCACCATGGACATGTGGACGTTAAGGTTGTGGGCCTTCTCGAAGCGCTTCCCGCACTGGTCGCAGGCGAATTCCAGCTCCGTCTCCGCTTTGTGTTTGGTCATGTGGTACTTGAGCGACGCTCGCTGCCTGCACTGGAACCCGCAGATCTCGCACCTGCAAGACAAAACACGGTCCTGCACCAAGCCCGAGCTGCTGGGGGCAGTGATCGGCCCCAGGCCTGACTGCACCGAAGGGGAGGAAGCCTCAGCCTGAGCACGGGGCCGCTTCTCCCATCCCCAACCCCCTCGTTAAGCAGCACACTGCTGCTCAGGCCTGCAGCTCTGACAGCTGAGCAGGTGTCTGCTGAAATCAGAAATGCAACAAGATGGGACAAAGGCCTCCCTCAGAAAAGGCAGCAAGTGCCGGAACTGGAGCAAACAAGGGGGAAGAGGGTGAACATTTAAGTCTAAAACACCATGACTGAGCACACACAGTACCAGGACAGTAAAACACATTCTGAGAAGAGGAAAGCCTGCAGTGGGCAGAGGTTACAACAAAACATCTCCACTTCTCAGGCACTAGAGGATCCCCTTTGCCTGCAATGTCCATGTTCAACATTAGACAAATCCTGCCCTTCACTACCTGCTCTCAGAAGCTATGAGATTCTGCCACAGGAGCTGCACACTCCAAGCTGGATTTCTTCAGAGCCCTGGGTACTCGGGGGCTTCAAACTACCACCACCTCCTCCAGCGACTTCAGAGACACCTTCCTAAAGGGGACCTGCTGTAAAACCCAGTGTGCTCCATGCAGGGCTGTGATCCTGCCCTGCTACTGCCGGCTCCTGACAGAGCTTGTGTCGTGTCCCTGTCCTTAGCTCTGTAACCCTTGGCTACCTCTTGCCCTCTCCTTATAACCCAGTAAGCAGGGTGAGTGTGCACTTACTGCAGGGGCTTCGCTCCCGAGTGCCGCATCTGATGGACTGAGAGGTGTTTGCGTTGCTTGAAGGTCTGCCCGCACTCATCGCAGATGTAATTGCGTACCTCTGCGACAGAAACGGGGAAAGACTCAGCGATGCTGCTGTACCTTAGCACACGAGACACGTGCAGGAAAGTGCCCATGACAGCAGCGGAGGCCAAATTCCTCCCCCTGCCTCTGCTGCAGCGCGGGCCGGGCCCGGCCGTGACGCACCCGTGTGAATGAGCTTCACGTGGCGCTGCAGGTACCGGTCAATCATGAACACCTTGTTGCAGCCAGGGTGAGGACAGGGCCTCTCCCGAACTTCTTCGTGATGCTCCTTTATATGTTTCTGAAAAGAAAGGTCAGAGCTGCTATCAGCTCATCATCCAGGAGAGATGAGGGCTGGATTTTTCCCCGCTGACAAACTTGGCTCCCCAAGCCCACGCGACAGCCCTTGTGGCAGGTCTCCACCTCAGTGCTCTCACTGTGGAGAAAATGGGACTCATATCCAGAACTATCCCTGACTGCAGGGACTTTGCAGGACCCAATGGGGCTCGTTTCCCAGGGCTGCTGCTGAGCCAGACTTCCCAAGCAGGAGCAGCCAGCTGAGCCCCAGCGGCTCCTGGGGTTTTTGGAGCCCAGGACAAGCCCCTGCCTCCCACAGAGCCGCTGGGTGAGTGAAATCCGTGTCTTGGATCATGAACTGTGGCTTTGAGCACCGCCGCGAGCGCTGAACCTACCTTCATGCCGTCTGCCCCTCTGTACACGGCCGTGCATCCCTGGTAAGGACACTTGTAAATGGTGGGCAGCTCCTCCCTGCAAAGCAGAGCGCGGCCGTGAGCCCGCGCGGGCGACGGCGCTGCTGCCCAGCCGGGGCCCCTTCTTACCTTTCACACTTGATTTTTTTTTTCCAGCCTGGCTTGGGCCCTGGCTTCTTCCTTATTTTGGGCTCTTCTGCCTTCTTAGCTTCTTTGCTGCCACTTTTCTTACTAGAAACCCTCAGAGAAGGAAAGGGGGAAAATATAGTTATATAGTTTAATAACGATAGTTATTAAATATTTCACATTGATTTAAATCCTCCCACTTCTTCGTCCCTGGATGTCATCTCTGGGAATACCCCGGGGAGGCCCTGCTAGCCCCAGGGCAGGGAGGAGGGAGCTGAGGCTGCAAACAGGATGGTTTGTCCAGCTCCATCCTCCTGCCCCCGGCAAAGGGGGACCCCAGCCCACTCCGGGCCTCCTCGTTAACCCGCTGCCCCTCGGAGGAGGAGACCCCCTTACTTCTTTTCCGGGTAAGGCTCGAAGGAGTCATCTGAAGACTGCATGTTTCTCTTCTCGTTTTCATCCTCGCTCAGGAAGTCCCTGGGAGAGAAGGAAGACGCCCTTTACTGCCCCAGGACTTGGTGTCACTCCAGCACCAATAACCCCATGGCTGGTATCTGCAGCAGCAGCATCGCTTGTTCGTCATTCCAGCGCATCCCTCGCCCACGGAAGACCAGGAGGCTTCATGTTTTCTCCTCCCGCATCATCACTGGGACTTTAGTTGCTTTGGGGTAATACAGCAAATTGCAAAATTATTTCCTTTTTAGGACTAGGGCTCCATACGAATAACGGGAACACTATGAGGAGAAAAGAGCGGCTGCTACTGAAAAGGTTTATTGTTGAGAGATGTTGCAACCACTTTCTATGCTATGAAAAATAATTCTGTAGAGCAAAACTATAATCTCACTGTCTGGCACAACTTAATTAAGCTGCAAGTCACTCACACCTTCCTCAGATGGAGTGGCCACTATTTTTTTTTTTAATCCTAAGCTGCACAGGACAATTCTGAAGCCAGGAAAGGGGCAGCAGGGGATCACTGCAGCATTCCTAATGCAACAGCTGGCCAGTCCAGTTGACACCCTGAAAAAAATCTGTACTTGGCCCTTGGTAACTTAGACTCAGAATGACCACAGCAGTTTTCACTTCATCTACAAGTCTCCCTTAACTACCTACATTTAGGGGGTTTAGCCTGATCATCTGCAGTTACACCCCATTCCAGTGATCCGAAAAACTGCTAAGTTGCCCGTGTCCAAATGCCACCGGGACTTCCAGCTACACAAGCTTTCCTTGGGAGGGAATTGGAGGATTTCTCCATGTGCCACCTCTTCCCTGTGCACTCAGGCTGGGCAACCCGCACCCACAGCTCTCCTGGAGCCCAGGTTTGGAGCAAATGGGAATTCGGCTGGAAGCAAGAGGAGCTGGAGAGCCCGGCCCCGGGGAGGAGGAGGGCAGGGACGGCCGGCCCTGCGGCAGCCGCTTCCGAACCGGAGGGGCCTTGGAAGCAGCGCGAGCGGCTCCGCTGGGGCGACGCGCGCGACGCCGCGGGCAGCGGCACGGAGCCACGCACAGAACCCGCCTGCGCAGCGGGGTCCAGGGGCCTCCGGGGACCAGGCCGCGTGTGACAAAGAGCTCTCCGGGGCTCCCCATTTCACACTCGCAAAGAAGACATTAAGGCTATTTTAAACCCACTCTTCTCTCACCCCTCAGAAAGGTCACTGAACTCGTCTTTTACCCGCTCATCCGACGTTGGAGACACAACCTGCTTCCCACTCAACTGCCCTAGGGAATGAAGGAGAACACGGTCACAAGGAAAAGCAGAGAGAAGCAGCCGGCACAGGGAGCCACGCCGGCATCG